GCTCCAAGGGCATGGAATAGTAGAATTGACAAGTATTTTCTAGAAAATAACTTCACAAAATGCCCTCACGAGTATGCCCTTTATACAAAGGTAAATGAGAAAGGAGATATTTTGCTTGTTTTTTTGTATGTAGATGATCTTATATTTACAGGAAATAATCAAAGTATGATCACTGAGTTTAAGAAGGTCATGACTCAAGAATTTGAGATGACGGATATCGGCCACATGGCCTACTATCTTGGGATAGAGGTAAAGCAAATGGAGGACTGCATTTTCATCTCACAAGAAGGATATGAAAAAAGAAATTCAATATGGAGGACTGTAAGCCCGTATGCACCCCTGTCGAATGCGGAATCAAGTTGTCGAAGAATGATGAAGGTGAAAAAGTAAATCCAACACTTTTTAAGAGTCTTGTTGGAAATCTAAGAAGCTGAATATGTTGCAGCTACATCAAGTGTCTGCCATGCGATTTGGCTTAGAAACTTGTTGAAGATGCTTGGAGTATCACAAGAAGAGCCAATCGAAATCCATGTTGATAACAAATCGGCCTTGGCATTGGCAAAGAACCCAGTATTCCATGATAGAAGTAAGCACATTGATACAAGATATCACTTCATAAGAGAAAGCATTGCAAAGAAAGAAGTGCAGCTGAAATATGTAACCTCCCAGGAGCAGATCGCCGACATTCTCACTAAGCCACTCAAGCATGATGTGTTCCGCAAGTTAAGAACTCTACTTGGAGTATCAAAATCAAGTTTAAGGGGGGATGTTGAGTAGTAAACTTGATTTTTGGACTAAATAATATGGGCTTAAGGATTTTGCTTATAGGCCCAAATCAATTAAAAGGCCCAACATGCATAGTATTTCTAGAAGCATTATCTAGAAAAATCTATATAAATATCTACTAGAAATATCTATCTAAGTAAGATATGTAGTTTTATAAAGAATATATAGAGAATTCTAGGAAAATATCTTGATATGTGGTCTAGGTGTCTCTAGAAAATGTGTGGACTAGAATCTTCTTGTAAACACTATATAAAGGGGTAGTGCCCTCCATTTTGTAACAAGCCAAAAAAAGTGTGTAAAGTCTTGAATTTAAGAAATACAAGTTTCCTTTTTCACTTCCTTCTTCGTATTAGTGTTGTCCTCTTAAAAGCCTTAGTCAATCCAAGTTAGTAAATCCATCTTTCATCCAACACAAAGTCCTATCCTCATACCAGCTTTTGTTTAAAAATTAAATTAAAATGTCTCCTAGATTTCTAATTTAGATAATCACTTCCAGTCCGTAATCAGTGTTTTAAATATCGATTTGAACATTAGCTTGTCTAAGGTAAAATGTCAAGGTCAAAGATTCGACCGATTGTACAAAATAAACAAATAAAAAATCTTTTTTTCAATAAAATAAACTAGATTATCGATTTAAGTTCACTCACTTATTTGAATGTATTAATTGTTTATATGATTAAATTTCAGATCGATTCTCAATTTCTCAGATTGAACTTACTAGTCCACTTCTTAAAACATCAAAATAACAATTTTTTTTTCAAGTAATTTACAGAAGTTTCTTAATTTCATATCATGTTATGCTCTAAGTATAACAAAAGAAGTCTCTTATTTTACCTTAGAATGGTGAAATAAATTGATTTGGAAGGGCCATGTGGTTTGTTGCAGAAGAAGATTAGGGCATGTGGAAGGCCCTTGTTTAAGTACCCCCTCCCCACCCCACACGGCACACCCCTCAATATTATTCTCAAAGGTACCATTGGAGACCTAGTTAAGGGTGACAACTTCACATGACACCCACTTTAAGACCATTCCCTTATGTTTCTAAGGAGACACCACCGAGGACCATTTGCCCCATCTCATCAAGAACGTAGGTCCCCCGCCCCTAATGCTCTCTCATTCTTTAGGGTATATATGAAAACATTTTGGGTGTTCTTGACTGATATTAAGGGATAAATCTCATATCAATTAAATATACGAAATATAGACCAAAATATAAAGAACCCCAAATTTTAATAGGGTATCAAAGTCCATTAAACTCTAACGAGTAATTCGATCTGATTAACACTCAAAAAATGAGCACTTGGTTTAAAAGTTAATCTGCTCAAACGAACCATCATCTTTCAAGGGCATGTTAATGAATAAATCTCACATCGGCTAAATATTGAAATATAGACTAACATATAAGAAATTAAATTACTCATCTTAACAAGATTGACCTTTTAAGATAAAACCTCATGTTTTATAATTGAAACATTGTATATTTTTTGTTTTATTTGAATCTTGAATTTAATAGAAAAAATGGAAAGAAAAAGCCAAAGGAGTAATAATTACTAACGCGTTTGCTTTTTAAGAAAATATAATAACTACATCTTATTGTAGACTAATTTGACACTTCAAAATTTACAGTTAAAAAATTCACATTTAATTATTAAAAATGTATCTTAGACAAGACAAGAATATGCTTATGAGATGAAACAAGGCAGTTGACCACAAGAGAACTTACTGGACTAATTGGACAATTCTCTAGGGTAAGACAAGACTGCTTCATCAATTATTGCTTGTGGAATGACTTACAAGAGAAATACTACATGTACACAGAAATCTTTTATTGTTTGATAGTTTGTAAGCATTCGTTGGATGTTGGATACAGAACAAAGTTAAAACAGTCAATGCGATATTGCCACCTCATCATCTGTAATATTTTACG